CGAGAAACGGGAATTTGGGGCTGTTGCTGCCCTCAGGAGTTGTGGGGGGCCCCACAAATCTATTGTGCTCTGTGCCAAAGTAACCCTGCGTGACTGTGATTCACTATATGGACCATTAAATCATAAATTATAATCCTAAAACCCTCACTTCCCATAAATGTGAATTTAACTTTGCTTTTTGGGTTCATTATATTTTGCAATAATAATTTTTCTGTAAGAACTCATTTCCAATTGCATTACTAAATTCTGTGGAAAATGAGGTTCCATAGACAGAAATCTGGCTTCTTTACAGGTGCCCCATTCAGCCCCAGCACAGACTTGTCAAAGAGGCACATTCTTGTCACTGCCTCCTTTCTTCCCCTTAAAACAAACCGGGCCAGAGAAGGATAAAGGGGAGGAGGCAGGACTAGGGGGTGGGGAAGCGCACCCCTGGCAGGGTCCGGGCAAAGGCTGTCTGTGGGAGGAGGCCCACCTTGGCAGAAACGGCCAGGCAGTAGCCCCACCCAGAACTCAGGCAGGGCCGTGGGCTCCCTGCACAGCCCACAGCTGAGGACGCCTGGCCCCAGAAGGCCCCGGCAGGGATGTACCTGCCTGGCTGCCCCACGGCCTCCCCAGGACCCCTCTGTAGTCAGTGGCTAACTGCACTTTTCCAAAAGACCCTTCCCTTGGTGATGCTGCTGATGTTGCCCTTTGCTTTCGATTTCAGAAGCTGCACGTTTTCCAGTCCTGGTTCTAAACAGCTCAGACAAACACAGGTCTCCAGTTGGGGGTGACCCCTGTTAATCAGTGGAGAGCCTCCAGCATCTGAGCAAGCGCTTGAGCTCGCACAGAGCAGTGTCAGGTGCAGAGTGCTCCCCTGACTTAAAACGTCCTTGGTGGGGGCGCCTGGCCGGCTCAGTCGGTTGAGCGTCCGACCTCGGCTCAGGTCACGGTCTTGTGGTTTGTGAATTTGAGCCCCATGTCGGGCTCTCTGCTGTCAGAGCAGAGCCCATTTTGGATCCTCTGTCTCCCTCTCACTCTGCCTCTCCTCCGCTCGTGTGCATGCTCTCTCTCTATCTCTCTCAAAAATAAACATTAAAAGAAAATGTCCAAGCTTGGGAAAGCTGAGGTGCAGGGTGAATGGGGAGAAATTTCAAGTGCACGAAACAATGTCTTCTCCCAGTCCTGACCCTTCGTCCCCTGGGGAAGGTACGTGGGTCCCCACCTCTTGGAGAGGTACCGTGGGTCTGAGCACTGCAGCCTCCCTGGTCCCAGTGGGGCTACTCAGGCTTGGTGACCTGCGGAAAAGGCCTGATTAAGGTCTACAAAACCTCGGTTCTGAGTAAAAAGGCCGTTTGCAAAGCCCCTGAGAGCCATTCTGGGGTCTTCAAAGGTGGGACTTGATGTCCCAGTGAGGGTAGAAACGGCAGGGGTGCCAGATTTCTCCCGCAAGCAGTTTAACCAAGGCCATGTGCATCCGTGGAGTGCAACTCCTGACAATGTCCATGTAGCAGTGCGCAGAGGGTCCTTTCCCTCAGCATGGTGGCCCTACTCCTCCTATCTCTCTCCGAAACAAGTTCAGGAGCTCCACTTCCTTCCTGAGGACCATCGACCCCATCCATGAAAGCGGCAGTGGGGTGCCCCAACCCCAAAACTAATGGAGGGGCCTCTTCAAAGCGGTGGGTGTCCTGTCCCTGTACATCTCTCCCGGGAACTTCCTTCACCATCACATCACCATCACCATCACATCACCATCGCCATCGCCATCGCCATCACCATCACATCACCATCACCATCACCATCACATCACCATCACCATCACATCACCATCACATCACCATCACCATCACCATCACCATCACCATCACCATCACCATCACCATCACCATCACATCGCCATCGCCATCGCCATCGCCATCGCCATCACATCACCATCACCATCACCATCACATCGCCATCGCCATCACCATCGCCATCACCATCACCATCACCATCACATCACCATCACCATCACCATCACATCACCATCACATCACCATCACATCACCATCACATCACCATCACCATCACCATCACATCACCATCACCATCACCATCACATCACCATCAGCATCACATCACCATCACCATCACCATCACCATCACATCACCATCACCATCACATCACCATCATCATCACCATGGCCACTGTAACCACCCACCAACATCACCACTAGCATCACCATCCCCATGACCATCCCCAGCGTCCCCACCACCTCCACGACCAGCATCACCGCCATTATCATTTTTACTTTCGCTCAGTATATAACACGTAACTGTGACCACTATCTAGATCAAATGACTGTATTTTCAGTATTTGTTTCAGATTGTTGTTTTAGGAAATAATATATCCGTAGCCCTCACTCCCCTTCTCCCCCCCCCCCCGCCCCGAGCACCACTGCCCCGACTTTGGAGCAACTCGCAAACTTTTTTTTTGGCCAGGTATTTCCCATGTGCAATTCATAATGTGCTTTAAAATGTTCCTAGGGGCGCCTGGGTGGCGCAGTCGGTTAAGCGTCCGACTTTAGCCAGGTCACGATCTCGCGGTCCGTGAGTTCGAGCCCCGCGTCGGGCTCTGGGCTGATGACTCGGAGCCTGGAGCCTGTTTCCGATTCCGTGTCTCCCTCTCTCTCTGCCCCACCCCCGTTCATGCTCTGTCTCTCTCTGTCCCAAAAATAAATAAAAAACGTTGAAAAAAAATTTAAAAAAAATTAAAAAAAATATTTTCCTGGGAACTCACGTCACAGCAGGTAGCAGACAGGCCCGAGGTGACCCCCAGAGGCCACACCCTCCCTGTGATTGGAGGGAGCCTACGACTTCCCTCCAACTGAGAAGCGGTACTGAGGGTGTATGCTGCTGCCGGATGAAGTCACATTATGTGGCAGAGGGGTGTCCCGACTGCAATGACACTACTATGAATTACATAAGACCCCAAGCCAGCTCTTGCTGTCTCCTCCCGGCCTTCAAGAGGGAAACAGCCAAGCAGGGAGCTGTGGCCAGGCTCTGGGATCTGAAAGTGCACCCAGCTGACAGCCAGGAAAGCCGAGGCCCTTAGTCCTACAACCACAGGATAGGACTTCTGTCAACTGAGAGCACAATCCATCTGACACTTGGGTTGCACCTGTGTGAGACCCTGAGCGAGGGCCCAGCCAAGGCAAATCCCAACTCCCAGTCCATGGAAACCGGAAGAAAGTACATGTGTGCTCTGTTAAGCCAGTAAGCTTGGTCATTTGTTATGAAGCAACAGAAAACTAACATTTGTGCATATGGTTCTATCAGAATTCTCACATGGGCCCCAGGCATCAGTGTCTCTTAAGTTCTCCAGATGTTTCCAATATGCTGTACAATTCAAGAACCAGTGCCTAGACGCCTGGGTGAACTTAGAAGTTTTCACAGATATCGGGTCATTAACTCTCCACCCTCCCCTGGCCTTAGCCTCACTGATGCCCAAGCCAGGCTCTGCACGATCCCTGAATACCCATGGCCCACCCAACCCCCAAGTCACACCACCCTGCGACTAAGGCAGCTTACCGTGACCTGCCACAAACTGCATAGTGTGTGATTGGACCCGCCTCATGTTCCTAACCAAAGCCACGACCTGGAGGCCAGCAGGGACCAGACCCCGGCCCCCAGAGCTTCCCGCGTTCCAAAGCGCCATGTCCACAGGCCCAGGACACGTAAGCTCTATGGACAAGGGTGAAGGGGCAGAAGCCCAAAAGAGTGAGTGTGGCCAAGGCTTGTCAGACTAGAAGAGGGTCAGGATGACCTCTCTGGTCAAGGTTAAGAGCCCCCCGCTGCCCCAAGGGCTGAGGCCCTTGAGACGAAAGAGGCCAAAGCCCGGTGTGCCTTCGAGCCTGCTACGGTGCTTGTCTGTGTCTCATCCGAGAGGACTGTGCAGCTCCCAAGGCTTAGAGAACATTCCAGAGATGTTTGTGGGGTGGACACATTCCCACTTCTTGGCTGGCTTGGTGACCTCCGTCCTCGGGATGACCATCAAAGTGTTGCTGACCTACTTCATTCCCAGGCACAGCATCCCCTGGATGGGTTCGGAGCGAACCTGGCCTGGCGCCTTTCCCGGGCACAGACCCCGCCAGCGTGTCCGGGAATCTGACCTGAGCACGGCCGGTTGTGCCCAGAGAAACCACCTGACCCAAAAAGCCTATAAGCCCACACGGGCTTGGATCTGAGGGCAGGTGACCCAGTTGGAGTCAGGCCCTAATAAGAAAGGAAAGCGTGTTTAAATAATCAAGTGATTCACCGAAGAAAACCTTCTTGGAAACTGTTATTGTAATCACCACTGAGATGGGAAGGCTGCACATGTTGATGGAACCGAGTACTTGGGGTCTGAGCGAACGTTTGCATGGTTG